TTCTAATGAATTGAAGTGAGTAAGTGCTATTGTATTGAACATATTAGAGAATATTAGTGCATGCGACGCTAATAAACCTACTATTGCAATAATTTAAACTTTATGAAAATTAATAAAAATAAATTATAAATATATTGAAAAATAAAGAAAAATATAGAAAAATTTGTATAAAGAAATATTATGTAATTACATATCTATGAAAATATTATGAGAAAGCTGATATAAAAGAAATTTATATACATATATATCCAAAAAATAAGTTTAAAATACAGTAAATAAAAAGAAATTTTTCTTGCTCGGTTTTTTATGTTACTTTTGTTCATTTTATCACTTTTTCACAAAAATTAGATCAATTTCTCGAGGTTTCACACAACATTTCACCAAATGGACAATACACGTAATAAAATGTTTAAGTGGACATTAAAACGCTCATTTAAATAGAGAGAGAGGGGGGAGGAGGGAGGGAGGAAAAAATGAGACAGAGAAACTTATTTATTTCATGCATGCGCACTCCATTTTGGCCAACATAAAATCAGGAGAGTTGCGCTGTATATACTGTGATAATGACGTAGTCAAGCTATAATTCTCATTGGTTATCTGGCGTTATCACGTGTAAGAGCATACCCTCGTATTTATATCATGACATACACATAAATACACGCAGAAAGTGTTCAAGAAATGGAATATAAGCCGCATTGGGAGCATAGAAAGGGTCAAAGGGGATAGAAGAATCTTATACTATATTTTAGGATATTCGACTTTAATTTTCGACTTATAAAACTTCTGAGCAGTGACGTCGGGTCGCTCAAATTTTTAGTACGGCCCATCGCGTCTTATTTGATGGCGGCGGCACATGACGAGGCGCTGCCTAGCATGGCGATCTTATGTGTTTCATCGCGTTTGCATTATCCGAAAGTGTTATTTTAGCTGAAATTTTTCTTATATATTTTTATAAATCATGTTATTTAACGCGACTAAATACGTTTTAACATAATTAGGTATGTTAAACGACGTAATTAATTAGAGCGTTTCGCAAAGCGTATGTCGAACATCGTGATATGTTTTACTCATGGCGAAAGGGATAACATGGTATGCAGTTGGATGGTGTTTCTTTTTAAATCTTCACTGTATCTTTCTATGGATGTCGCCGAATGTCGCGTAAAACCTAGTCTACAATCAGTCGAAAGACATTGCCGTAAGAAATTGATCAATCATGGTCGATCGTTTTTTTCATATTCAACTGTGATTGGCCAATTCCTTACGGCGCGACATACGACACATCTCCCGACTGGTTGTAGACTAGGCCTATGAGACAAAAATTACCAACTGTGAAACGCGAAACATGGAGCAGTGTATTCATAGTCTGTTTTTATTTAAAATAAATGCTAATACAGTTCTCGGATTGACTTATGACATCTTAAGACTGTATACTTAAGACTGTATACTTAAGACATTATTAGCATATTAAGATTTATTATTAGCATTTTAAGACATTATTTAAGACAGTTTTAAAATAAAAACACTATGAATACCGCCTCATGTTTCGCGTTTCACAGTTGGTAGCCTTTGTCTTTTACGCGACATTCGACGACATCCATAGAAAGAAACGGCGGAGATTTAGAGAGAGACACTATTCAACTGCACACCAGAATTAGCACGTATTAAACATAACGTATTATACATTATACCGTTTTTATACCGTATGTTATACGTATTACATGTATAACATATGGCATACATTATATGGTTTTATACATATTATACATATGTATTATACATACGTACTATACGTAAAAAACTACTCGCAGCTTTAAATTTGCAGCCCAACCTTGCTGCACACACCATGTTATCTCTTTCACCATAGTTTTATTCATTGACGAAACGTCAGTTTTATTCATTGACGTAGTCGAGTATTCCCCTGTTATAGTCGAACGACAGGGGAATACTCGACAGTAGTTGGTTGGTTCTTATATTCTGATCCGGATTAAACTCTCGGTGGCCATTGGCTACCCGTGTAACTATTGTAGATGAGGCTTTAATTTTGACAATATATTTAAAGAATGGTGTACTAAGCTGATATAATATGCATCTAAATGATTAATTAAATAGCCATATCATTTATATACGTTTTCATTACCGAAATTAAAATAATTTAATAGAAAGTTACTGATTAGTACGCGTATTAAATGTTCGGTGTAAATAAAGTCATTGCCTCAGATGGTTTTTTTAAATCGAAAATTACAGCAAATATCCTAAAATGATATAAGACTTTTTTATTCCCTTTGCGTCCCCAATGTTGTTTGTATTCTATTCTTGATACATATATATTACATATAAATGAATTATGAATCAAATTATTAAATACCATTTTTGTAATGATAAATGCACATGGGACAATAATTTATTTTTATATTTTTATATCTATAATACATTGATCGAATTTCATATCGAAACTCTGCATAAAAATTTTCGGAATTTTATGATATTGAAGATAAGAATATGTGTGTTTATTTTACTCATTCAATTATAATTATAATGAATGATGTGAATGACATTAAATGATCTGATAGATTCAGATAGACATAACTAAGCTATAATCCGTCCAAAAACGAATCCGTCCGAATGTTTTCGAATATCTGACACTAGCAATTTATATAATATAACTGAAAAATATTCTGTAATGAATTGTTTATCACAATATCTATTAATATTTGATAAATGCTTTTATAGAAACTTATATTCTTATTATAAGCTAGCTTAAAAAAAAAATGTAGAAATCCAAATAGCAAAATTTATCAAAAACAGTGCAAAACGTTAATTTTGTCAACAAAATATTAACAGAGAAATATATAAAAATCTGTTAATAGAAGATTGCAGATTAACTGCAGTCTATTGTTAGATTATCTCAATAGACTTTAAGATGATCACACACAAAATGATATAAGCTGCATAGCATAAAGCCATTGGATAAAAACGCCATATTGATTTACATAAGATGTTCATTAGTCCAGCGATTTTATGCTATGGTTATGCAACTTATATGTCATTTAGGGCTATCCAGGGACTTAGATCGAAATGAAATTTCGGTTACAGTCATGATCGGAGACTATATCCAATTTTCGGTTTTGGTTCCGGTTCCGGTTCTTTTACCGATAACAGTTTCGATCTTTTTCGCTCTTTTTCAATTCAGGCTCGATAAATTCAAGCAGTTTCAACTTTTTTATCGATAACCGTTTAGATTTCAGTTTTTTTGGTTACGGTTACGAGTGTATAATTATCTATTGTAGAAAAAGATAATACAATAAGCATAAATTGCATATAAAAATTCGTGTTTATTAAAGGAATATTTTTTAAAAGAAATCTGGAACGAGAGATGTGTAAGCACTGTAATCATTTCTTTCCTTTCTTTGCTGTACTTTTATTTTCTACGTCAACGTCAACAATTCGCAGCATTCCAACTGGTCGTTTTAATTGTTTCGACTCAACGATTGTACCGAAGAAGTTAAAAAACCCAAACTGAAAAACTTTTTCAGTCCGGTTACTATATCGGCTTGAACAATATTTCGGTTCGGTTATCGGTTTTGATTTGATAAAAATAAAAATTTCAATTTTTAATCTTTAATCTCAATCTTCAATGCATAATCTGATTCCGGCCTAACAGCAACCGGTTGAAATTTGTCTTATGGATAAGTTTACTACTCTATTTCTATTTCCGTTAGATTACGTAAATCTAAAACAATATCTTGATTTTGATTCACCGGCTTAAGTTTACGCCTGTTACGAAATTTTGTCTGCAGTAGTCCTTAGTGTGTGATAGCCCTTGTATGGTAAAATATGATGAGCCTAGTGCAAATATCAAGCAATTGATATCAATTTGTTGCAATATTCTGATCGAATCTACTAGTAAACTGATATTGTTGAACATTTTGTTTACTATATGTACACTTATGAACTAAAAAGTTGCAGCTTTGTTTTTCGATGTATTTTGGAACTGTCTTACTCGTAAAGTGGTTGAACCTAAATAGTTAGATCCATAAGAATAGTAAGAATCAATCATTCGTAGCATTCCAAAACTTTTTTCATGAAAAAGTGTTACAACTGTTCAGTTGATGAGTGTATAAGAAATTGGAACTGCGCTCGGTTTGGACGCTTTTAGCGCTTCTATCTTTATGTCTAATGAAACATAAAGACAGGATGTTTATAAGCACTTTAAAGCGCGTATCATAAGCATTCAAACTTCTACACAGCTTTAGATTAATGTTTTTTTAAATATATATATATATATATATATAATAATATAATATAATCTTATTATTTACGTATTTTAGTACCTTTTACATACATTTAAATATAGTTTCAGAAAGAAATATGGAGCACATTTTTAATTGAGTTTGTATTTATACACAAAATATATGTATGAATTATATCTTAAAATTATTTCTATTATTTCCATAATACGATTTATTATCTATAATATATTAAATCGAAATTAAAACTCGACAACAATATAATTGTAGTTTTTTTATATTTAATATATTTAGTATTTAGTATTTTACATGAAAAATAAATATTTTATGTCAGTTTATATTATTGCTATCATGTAATTTTATTTAAATATAGTTTTTATTTTAATAAAATTTTAATTTGTGATTTAATTTCTAAGATATTTGATATTTTTCTATAAAAAAAAAACAATAGAATAAGAATATTCAATCTCATTAAATCTTATACGATTGTTTTTTTTTTATAGAAAAATATCAAGTATCTTAGAGAAATTAAATCATAAATTAAAATTTTATTAAAATAAAAACTGTATTTATTATAAATAAAATTACATGATAGCAATGATTTTAAATTCAAAAATAATGAAAAAATTGTTAATTAATTTTTGAATTTAAAAATTAGTAGAAAGAAAAGTTGATAACACACATTATTCATCAAGAAACAAGTTTTGTTTATATATTTACATGTTTTACAAATATCTATACATAACATGATCTTTATATATATTAATACAAAGTCCTATTATTTTAAAGTTAATATCATGTATATCTTTCGACTATTGTTCTTTCTTACTAAGATAGTGATGCTTAATAAATCTACAACCTTGCGTAATTTGTGCACCCTCATTGACAAAGTGGCAGGCAAATAAAAGCATGTTGCGTGGTTGCACCTTGATTGCAAATCTCATGAACATTGCTGAATATAAGCATAAGGCTGAAAAAAATCAGCATAAAGTCTTGAAAATTGATACCAGTAAATGCGCAACAATTACGGAAATTCGAAGAGCTATTCACATATCAATTTTTATAAATTCTACAATAATGTAGAACTAGTTATAAAGATTCACATAGTAAATATTTATCTTCTATTCTATAATTGGATACAAGATAATTAAATTAAAAAACGAAAAAAGCAATATTCCATCCAGTGTCATTGACTTGCATTTTTTACTTACTATAATTTTTTTCTTTGAAGTCTTATTCGAAATAAATATTGTTATATAATAAGAACACCGATTGTTAAATATGGTTTTAATTCTAATTTTATTAAATTTTACTTAAATTATCATAAATCTTGTAGCTAGCATAAATACAAAATAAATTTTCTATTAATTTACAAATATTGTAGAGAAATAGAAAACATATTTAAAGGAAAACAGTTTAACTGTATGCTTACTAGAACTTAACAAAGAAAAATTATTAACGCGAATTAGACGAATAGATACGTAAATCGAATCCTTCAAATATCTTGAACAAGATGCAATGCATGTAGTAAAGATAATTGAACTAACCAAAGGTCATTTTACCACTAATGTATTTGGGATCCCTCTGGATATCGGCGATGGCAGCAACCGGTATCGCCCAATTAGCAATGGGTCCCCAAAAGTGCGTGCTAAAAAAATGTTATTATTCATCACATATTTAATGCATACATGCACCGTCACGACCTGTATAAGTATTGATAATTCAAAATGCGCCCGACTTGACGTTCACACAATTCATACTGTTCTATGTTAAAACTTAAATGTGTATGAATTTAATAATTTACATTCACACACACAAGTTACACACAGGAGACATTGGACAGTTTACTAATTATAGTTTTTTATACATTCTGTCCATAGATTTCAAGCAATTTATGGAACTCATGATGAATACAGAAAAAAATCTTTATTATATTAAAATAACAGAGAATGGAACAGTTACTATTCTGTTACTTCTATAGTTGCAATTTGATAATTTTTTTATGACTATAATGATAGTTAACTAAACGTTGAAATTAAGCTAAAATTGGGAAAATCATTTTAAAGTAATCATTTAAAAAGTAATTTACATCATACATATTTATGCATTTATTTTTTGAAAAAAGTAATTTGTAACTAACGAGCATGATATTCTTTACAAGTAACAACTAAAAAATAATGAATTATAAGTACCAAGTTAATTTTTTTAGTGACTTTTCCAAGTCGTTACAAGTAACGATCATTTGAATGACTTTCCAATCGTGATATTACCATTACAGTTAAAAAAAAATTCGTTATTGCTAAATCATTATTGTAATAGAGTAATGAGTAGGGTAACAGCGTTAGAAGTAACTAATTTCCCTGAAAATAACACAGCTAGAATCATTGAGAATAAAATAATCACTTTAACTTTCTGTTTAACATAACAAGTAACAATGAGTTTATAATTTAGATTAGACTTATCTGTTTTAATGTTTTATGTCCATATAATTTTAGTAAGCTCGCCAGTACATTCGTATTATTTTCTTTAAAATATTTCTATACGCTTGCCTATCGGATATTTATAAACCTTTACAAAGATACTTCAATATGATATTAGTATCACATCACTCCTGTAAAATCTAACCTCACAAACATAATAGAGTAATAAGTCTTAAAAAATTGACCAATCATAGTCGATTATTTTTCTCATATTCGACTGTGATTGATCAATTTTTTAAGGCTTAAGGTTTATTACTCTACTATGTTTGCGGGGATAAACAACGATGCTACAAAATTATATTAATACTCCATTATCAAGATAATCTATCTTTAAATTCATGTGTCAACTGAGTAACTTGAATTAGTTGGATGAGAATTATTTACCTATTTTAACGCTCTACGAATCATTCTTTTCATTCTTTTTGTTTATCGAATATTAAACAAGGATAAATGATGCTCGCAAGCGTTGCGGACTTCAAGTCGAACGCATCTTTAAATGACATAACCATCACTTGCCTCATGAAATAATCGCGAGTTTCTTTACTCTTGAGAACTTTCATAAAACGATTCATCTTGAAAGTTTAATATTCGTGTTTTCACAGCGAGAAAGAGAAATTGCTTATATAAAAATTTGATGGGTTTGGACTTTAATTGGAATACGATCTATGGAGTGCACTGTAACGTAATGCACAGTAGTGCACAGGGATCAAAGGACACGAATACGTGGCAAGGAATAGAGAGAAGACGCGCCAAATGCTGGTCTTGGTTAAAAAAAAGTTTAAATAATCAATGTAAAATTAGAGGCAAATATATATAATATAGCATTCGAGGAAACATGAATCGCGCATAATGTTTTTACGCGTTTATGCCTACATGCAGAACAATGATTGATTGAACAAAGTCGAAAGTCATTAGCGATTTCAATCACTTGATTACTTTGACTCGTTAGCTTGGTCATTTTAATTATTTTGGCAATATTGACAGTCAGAGAGAGAATTCCTCAAGTAAAGTTTGAATATCACTTAAACAATTTTTCATTATCTTCCATACTCTGCAGGTATGCTCCAAATGATATTAATTTGACTATTGATAAGATACTCGAGATCAATCAGATTTTATCATGCTAGAGGTTTGTTCTTTTGCTTAAGCGGGGTCATGAGAGCTTTCCAACAAGCGACACACTGGCCTAGTTTCCACCGAGAGTTTAAACTGGATTAAAATGTAAGAACCAATCAACTATACAGTATTCCCCTGTTACAGTCGAACGACAGAGGAATGCTCGATTGTAGTTGATTGGTTCTTACATTCTGATCCAGTTTAAACTCTCGGTGGAAACTAGGCCACTGTGCGACACAGCAATCACTTGTTTAATATTGGCTGATTACGGTGTAAGAATAGGTGATTCCACTCGTTCATTTTTGCTCAGAAAAACTGTGACGAAATTGAGGCAGTTCAGATACGTAACACTAGAGGGCATAATGGTCTGAGACCTAATGGCCTTAGGGTCACTTCCATCAAGCTCTGATTAACTTAAAGGTCCTAGTAATTTTGCAGGATTCCAACTGAAGCTGATGTCGAAGAAAAAAATGTGAACTGAAAAGTTAAACATATTTCACTAATTATAATTAACTGTAATTATAATTAACTGTAATTTTACATATTATATTGAACACAAAAATTATTTTTTATTAGGTTATTAACAAACAGCTACTAGAGAGAAACCTTGCTACATAAACATTAGTATTACAAATCTATATTTATAACTTCTCTCTTTGCATTTTTTTCTCCGACATCAATTTTAGTTGGAATCCTGCAAAGTTACTAGGCCTGTTAAGTTCGGAGCTTGAAAGTGGCCCTAATTTAAATTTCCTATTCAAAATTTTGAATTGAATAGTGTTCACAATGTGTTATTTGTGCACAAAAAGCTAATATTATTTTTAGATTGAAAGACATAGAAATATGTTCCATGCAATTCCTATAAATGAATAAAAATGCAGAATTGAAAAACATTCATTTTAACATTCGTGAATTAATATTTTTTGAAAATCTGAATCCATTTCAATTCATTTTAATCCATTCTCGTTTGCTGGATATGAAAGGGAGGTGTCTACGCACTGAGATAAAGTATGGCAATTGAAGAAGAATTTTGTATTACACACAAAACGGACTGCTGACAATTAGAAACCTATCCAATAGAAATCCTATCCGTTTCTACATTATTCTGTAGTTTTTACCAGGATGAATTCTTTTATAACATGACAACTACTCTTCTTCGTGATATTAAATCCCTTTTTAATTCCTTACTTAAAAATTGGCGAAACAACGAACTTTTTCAACAAATTCTAAATTGATGAGCTCCTTTTCGCAAAAGATATGTTGCATTGTAAGATCCATAGCTGTATTCATTTATCTTCATCAGTGATAACAGCATAAATTATTATTTTGAATTTTGTATTCACAAGAATTATTGTTTCCTTAACTATAAATGATAAATTGTTATCTTTCTTTTTTTCTTTGGATGTTTCATGTTTTTAGATTGTTTTTTTTATTTTGCACAAAACATTAATCACGTGCAACATTAGTTTAATTTTGGTTTTTACAATGATTAATACATTTTCGGAATAGGAGAAAGTTTATTGATGCTTTTCAAGTTCTGCGTGAAGATCTCATTTGAAAAATGAGAAATGAAGAATGATTTGAAAAATCTCATTTGACATCGCTTTTACTGGAATGATGGTATGTGTGTATGCAGGTCATATAACATTTATAAAATCCGAAAAAAGCTTTGACTCAACTATTTTGAAATACAAGGTGCGTCCCAAAATTTTCCGAACTTTTTCAATAGGGATAGGTCGAGTGGCGCCATCCGTGTGTTCGATTGCGCGTTTGAAAGGTACATCCCTAGCTGACTTCCAGTAAAAATTTCATGACATTTGGTTCAGTGGAAACGAAGTTATGGCGTCTCAAGTGTCAGTATGTTGTATACATCGGTACGAGAATGAACTTCGAACAAAGAGCCAATATTAAGTTTTGTTTTAAACTTGGTAAAACATTTACCGAAACCCATAATTTGATGAAACAAGTTTATGGTGATAATTGTGTAGCCCGTGCCAGTGTTTATGAGTGGTATACGCGATTCAAGAACGGTCGTGAGGACATAAATGACGACGCACATATAGGTCGCCCAAAATCGACAATTAACGAAAATTCCATCGAAGTTGTGCGTAATTTCATCAAGCATGAGCCAAAATCTTCAGTGAGATACATGGAAATGGAATTGAACATCCCCAAATCAACGATTTATCGCATTTTGACCGAACATTTGGGCCTACAAAAAGTCTGTGCACGATTTGTTCCACACAAGTTGACTGACGACCAAAAAATGCATCGAATTCAACATTCAAAGGACATTATTAAGGAAGCAAAAAAGGACCAAAACTTCCTTTATAGCATTGTTCTTTGAATAAACAATTTGAATTTGAAAAAAAAAGTAAATCGTTGTTGTTTTATTTCAAAAGTTCGGAAAATTTTGGAACGCACCTTGTATTACACTCATAAAATATGGCCAAATTATCATTAATTTGAAGCATATCAATAACATTGCAGTAACGTTACAATGTTGCTGCGCTGTTGCTGAAATGTTTCTAAACGTTTCTTGTTTACTGGGTGCGAGCGACTTTATTACGTAAGAAATTAAAATTTTCTTTGTAATTAGGTTTTTATCATTACCATTGTAATAACATTAAAATGTACTTTTAATTTAATTGTTCTATGAACATTGAAAATAATCGGATAGAGATTAAAACGTATGCTTTTGCTTTATTGTTACTTTGTATCTAATTATTGGTTAATATAATAGTATTAAACACTCAGCTTGGTTCGCAGCCAAGTTATTTTATATAATTTACATTATACTTGCACATAATCGCTTTTTTAGCGCTTTGTAAGCGCTGCTGTGCTACTTGGATATCCTTAGCAGGATTATTGAATAGTTTAAGTGCTTGTAGATATTCTTATATATACGCGCAAAGGATTGAACAACTTCTTTTATTAAGGGCAACGTAAATATATTGAAGTTAATTATTGCTTTGTGGTAGTATATACTATATATAGTTATGAGCGTGCGCAAGATATATCGCTATTATTGCTGCCATTGCCATCGGCCCCATCGCTACTATTGCTGCTGCCGCCGCCGCCGTCGCTGTTGCCGCTGCCGCCGCCACTACCGCCACTCGATGCGTCGTCGTCGCACCACTGAGTATCTCACTTGATATGTTAGGGTCGTGTTTGCCGCTGGAGACTGTGATAACTATCGAATCGCATTATTACGTGCTGTGCACATCTCATCATCCGTCGTTCTCGTAACTAGTAGGCGTGTCGTAGTCGGAAATTGTGACAACCGCGTGAGAGTGCGAATATCGCACAAATATCTTATCTCAAAAGAGAGAAACAGGCAGAAAGAGAAAGAGAGAGAGAGGCTTCGCAACGGGGTGAGTTTCTTTGGCCTGAGAGAGAGGCCTGTTCCAAACGAGATCATGAAAGTAAGTCTAGATCATTTTTGCAATAAATGCGTTAATTCTTAGAGAATATAAAATATGTGGATGAAATCGTCATTTCGTTAATTTTTTTTTTAATAAGACCTCTTCGACCTCTTGAGTTTATTTTTAAATTCTGATACACTACATTTGCGATTTAAAATGTGCAAGAAGATTCGGAATTTCTCCGTTATTCATTATTTAATTATGCTGCAATCTTTTGTAACTTTGTTTCTATTTTTTAGTCTTGATTTATAATCCTGACATATCTAATATTCATTAAATTTAACATTAGATATTTTAGACGCGATAAAATATTGAAAATAATTTTTTAAGATTATGTAAAATTACTTTTTGCTATCTCTGGTCTTATCTTTTTAATTGTTGCGGAATATCACAAAGAAGATATCACAATTTTGATCATATGGTTTACTGACTCGAGTTACAGCGTTAGGTGTGAAAGATTTTTATGAAGAAAGTTCGAAATTAATTCCTGAAATAAGACGAAAATATGCAAATGTTGTGCAAAAGTTTGTTTCTTTTTAAATTAGGAAACAATTTTTTAATAAATGTAATATTTGAAATTTTATACGAGATATTATAAACATTTATGATATAAGCTCAACAAATTGGATAGTTAATTAAGATACGACACATTATAGATCTCGCGACAAATTTGATGCATCAGACAATTCATAGAATCAATTTGCTACATTTCTGTTTTTTAATCGATTATGAATCTTTTTATTCGGCATTTCGTATTTTATTTAGAATTCGGCATTTCTCTTTTATACTTTTTTCTTAATTTTAATTCTTTATCTATGTTTTATAATGATTAATTGTTTGTAGTTAAGAACATTACCACATGTTTTTTTTCTTTACTTTGTTTATTATGTAATTTCTTTTCTTTTTTTGCTTTTAATATATATTTAGATATTAAGATTATATACATTTAACTTTAAAAGGAATATGTTCTACATTCTACTGTAGTTATTAAGGCATAATTTTAATGTTATTATCCATTGTTAAATCTAACACGTATATGCAAGCAAACAAACTGTTACTGTTTTTATATTTTTTAAAAAGACAATATCAAATATTTTTCTATTTTTATTTAGTTTTAATCATTGAGATACATATACATTTATACATATTTTGCAGAATATAGGATAGAAATTTTTATAATAAACATTTTAAAGATTGTTTACAAGGACATTTACAAACTTCATAATAATTAGTAAATTTCTTGCATAAATTAAAGAAAATAAAAATTAATTTGATAATATAGAGAAAATAATAGTTGGAAAATAATAGTTAAAAGGAAATAGATTTTTCGGCATAACTCAAATATCTTTATTAGATAGTTAAGAAACAATTCACTAATATTATTATTTGTTGGTAAGAAAAATCCTACTTGGAATTATTATGAACATTATGTGACATTGAAACAGTATTATTTCATCTAACAAAGCATATTAAAACGAACAATAACTGCAACGAACAATAACTATAAGATTACAGACAACCAACATGTTATTTTAATATTATATCGTATATAATTTTAATTTTAACGACTTACTTTTTATTTGACGCAAGGACATGTGAATGTTGCGTAATAATTAAGTAAGTTAGAAGTATTCATGGATATTTATTGGACATGGATATTCGTGTTATTTAACTAAATATTTTGTTGAATACTTGTAGGTTGTTCAATTTATTAAAGAAAGCCAGCATTTACGTTGGAGTTGCCGCTATTGACCATCTCGCTATCCTTTTCCGAGCGTATGGGCGCGGTTCTGATCTCCTATAATATTCTGTTCTACTTTCTAGTGTCTCCGTGCTATTCTACATGCACTTCATGTTGATTGTTCCCGTTTATTAAGACAATAAAAATATCAATGAGAATCCTAAATAAATATCAGTAAATCTATCATTTGTCAATTTGAAATTAACGAAATATGAGACTTGCGAACTGACACTTTCTAAATAAGATATTTGAGAATTATTTGAACTTTTAAAGAATAATACAGATTAATAAATAATTAAATGAATGCTTTATAATCAAGTCAAAATATCAAATAAAATGTATAAAAACCGAATAAAATATTACAGAATATTTATTCTGATTGAAGCAAAGGAGACTTCACAAGTAATCAATGATAATAATATAGAATTAGCTAGCTTTAATTCGAATGTATTATAAAAACTAAAAACAAAGGATATATATTTATTGAGTATATTATATTATCAGTAGAAGCTTACCGATCGAAGTTGGTCTTTAATGTTTAGATAATTGATAATTCAATGTAAATTATATATCTATACACTATATATGCATACCATATTTGTAATCATTCGAACTGCGCACCGAATTGGTTTTCCGAACTTATAAACGCAATTAAACTACTGTAATAATATCACGAATTACATTAAATTGACAAGCAATTCTTAATATTATAATTCGATGCTCAATCAAGCTTATAAAGATGTTATAATCCCCTTCTAAAAGAAGTTGAACCCAGATCTCTTGTATTATTACAGTAGTTTAATTGCGTTTATAAGTCCGGAAAACCAATTCAGTGCATAGTTCGAATGACTACAAATATGGTATATATATATATATATATATATATATATGCATTACACTGACAAGGAAAAAAGGAAATATACTTTCTTTAATCGTTCTCTCAGCTCAAAAGTTTCCATTTCATGCTAAAAGAACCATAAAGTTTTATAAAAAAAAAAAAATTAAGATTTAGAGGTAAGTAAACGTTAGTAAACGATTCTTAAATCGAAGCTTTGATTGTTCTTAATACATATTTGATTTGATGCAAAAATGGCTTAAACTGGATTTTAAATGTGGTTACTGTATGTTTTTTTGATTGCTGAACATGATGCAATAATTCATTTAGCGATATACGCCTTAAGAAATATAATCCAATTAATGTGAAAAAATGACCAAATTTCGAATTCAAAATCGATTTTAGCAAGGTTCCAAGTGTTCAAATGAATCGTTACTCCCTTCAAATTAAATCTGTTCACTCAGAACAAGATCCATTTGCAATTTTCCCGAGGCCTCCTACAGAGCTTTTAAAAATTGCATATTATAAAACTGGAATATAAAACGTTTTTAAGAATAGAAAATTTTTTTTTACAAGTTCTAAAGTATATTGCTTTGTGGTTTTGACATCCTCAAATGCCTTAATTTAATAATAAAAAATTCTTTATTACACAATGAAATGAGTACATAATACAAAAAAACATAATTTAATTAATTCAAATAAACTACATATTATATAGTATATTTTTTTTATTGTTTATTTTATTTCCTAATAAAGAGTTTTTTTCGTCAAATTGATTTGAGGATATCAAAATCACAAGCAATATACATACTTTAGAACTTTTTTAAGAATAAAAAAAAATTTTTCTATCCTTAAAAATGTTTTATAATCCAGTTAAATGCAACTTTAAAAAGCCCTATAGGAAGTCCCGGAAAAGTTCCAACTGGATCTTGTTCTGGGTGAACAGACTTACAATTTGAGGGGACGACCCATTTAAATGTTAATTAGAATCTTGCTAAAATCGACCCTGAACTCGAAATTTGATTATTTTTTTTATATTAATCAGACTATATTTCTTGAGATGTATATCATAGGATTAGCACCAAGGTGTTACCAAGGTGTTTTAACCGACGACTAAAACTTCTTGAATGTTGTTCAGGATCATGACTTGGATAACATTTGTTAAGATCGAGGTCATTGGAGATTATTCCTTTTATTTTCATTTTTACACTAAATATTCATTTTTACATAAAAATGAAAATAAGAGAAATAATCTCCAATAACCGTGATCACAAATGTTATTCAGGGCATAATCCTGAGCAACATTCAAGAGATTTTAGTCGGTCGGATACCTTGGGTAATACTAATGCCAGCGGTGTTGGCGAACTTGCAAGCTTCGAAAAGTACTTAATGAAAATAAACTTAATTATAGTGTTTTGGAAAGCTCTCAAGATGATCTATAAGAATGTGCAATAAATAGAGGATTCTATTTAAGAAATTGAAGGTAACCTTCACACGTGACCTTCAAGCAACTATTCAAGGTCAAACTAATGATAATATCTTATGTCCCCTTCAAAGCCATGTAACTTTTATTTTAAAACATTTTTTTCTAAGATTAAAAATAAAAGTTATTTGGAGTGGGACATAAAAATGAGATACCCTGTATAGTATATGTATAATTCACATGAAATTATTTAAGCATTAAAAATCTAACTTCGACCGATCGAGGTAAAGGTTCTAGTTTATCGATTGTGTTCTCACATGTACGGTCTAAAATAAGATAATTATTGTTTATCAGTATTTTGTTGAATTTCACTAATTACCGTAATTATTGTATGTATTATCGGTTATCTGTCTATAAATTTTTCTAAACTATTTATGTACAAAATATTAAATCAATCCTTATATATGATAGTGTTATTAAAATATCAGAGACGTATTTTTCAAATTTTATATTCAAATATACATAGGATTAGGAACGTACTTCATAAAAAAATTACGTCACTGTTACTTGGCTAATAAATTCGGCTAATATATCCAGGCATATGATCTTTCCTCCGATCATATTGTGATATTTAGGAACATATATCAGGCCAATTATGCGCGATATTTTGTGCATAAGCGTATATGCTTTTTGCGCGAAGCGAGATCCATCCTACTTCCCTCCTGTTAAGGGGTGTCCAATTTTCGCAAATTGAGGTTCACCCCATCTCCTTCCCTCTGCCTAGGGACAACCTTTTCATGCAAAACGATCAAGGTCTACATCATATCTCTCTACCTAGAAAATCAGATATCCTTAGATAAAGAGTGAGGAAGTGAGATGGACTCATGGTGGATAACATGATGTGCCCAATTTGCATCTCTCTTTAATTCTCTGTCCTCTCGTTTGTTCGGTGACCGTTCAGATCCCAGTTTAGCCAACTTTAGTTGTTGTCTTCGTCGCAC